ATGGGTCTAGATTTCGGTCATTCTGGGGATGGTTCTGGAAGGCTTCTCTGAAGAGATGGCCCTTGAAGTCAGGGCAACTCTTAGATAAGCCAAGAGAAGGGTAGAGGACAGAGCTCCGTGGAAATGCCCCTAGTGTGAATGCTCGTGAGATAATCTTGCCCACTCTTCAAGCCCTACCTGTGACTCATCCCTTCAGCCCTGTAGAGTTGGTTCAAATTGGTGTTTTCAGTCACAGTCACCGACAGCACCTATTATGTGCTGGGCAAGCCCCGAGAATATAAATATAAGTAAGATCTGATCTGGTACAAAGTTCCCTGTGTGGGCGTTTTCTCCACGACAACTGGCGTCTCTGATATTCTGGTTCAATGGTTTGAAGTTCGGTAACTACATATGCAGTTCTCATGCCCCGTCTTGGTGAAGAATCCCCAGCTTGGGTTGTTATCTGTTTATAAACATGGAGGCTGTTAATGACCCATGGTGGTGACACACGGTGGGAGTGAGTCACGGAGGAGGTTTTAAAATGACTCTGATGGCCTGGAGAGGAGTTTCCTGTGCCACCCTATTCCTGTATGAGATGGGCTGGATCTGGGGACAGATGATGAAGGGTAGCAGCATTTGGATTCTTAATTTGGATTCTTAATTTGTCACCTGGCTCTAAGCAGGTGGAGTCACTACCTCTCTGCCCCATTCCCGTTCCTTTCTAGTTCTGAAGCTTCTTGTTAGGCTCCTCTTCAAATTCCAGAGTGTATATATGGGATGGAGAGTTGGGGTGCTGAGGATTCCTGTGTGCTCTTGGGACACAGGGTGGACAAATTGGCCTACGTTCGGGAAGGTAGGTTTTGATTCATAATGAGGGCCGAGCGGATCTCTATCATCAGTGTTGGCCAACAGGGGCACAGGCTGACCTGTGAGTACTGAGTTGTCCATTGTGGGGAAGGTTCTGTGATGGCTGTGGACTCACCTCTCTGGGATGCTACAGGGAGAGCCCTTCCCTCGAGTGGACTTGAACTTCCACAGTCCAACTCTGGTTGGGGGTAGAGGAACTTGCTGTTCTTCTTCCATAGATCATTCTTCCTTCTCTTTCCTGTGCCATTTCATCTTCTGAATCTTTCATGGCTCAGGCTTTGCCTGTCACAGATGCTCAGAACTCAGGACCCACCTGCTGAACTTGACCAACGTGTATCACAAGATATTTGTCTGGAGTCTGCTGACCATTTAGGAATCAAGCCCAAATTTTCAAACCAAAATTTTCTGTGGAACTAGTTCTCCCAGTGGGGGTGCACATTTCTGTCCCTCTCTCTCCCTCTCTGTCCCTGTCATCCTGTGCTTTTGCACAGACAGTGGAGTTGCGGCTGAAGGCAACGGAAAAGCAGTTTGCTCAGTGGGGTGTGTGAAGGAAGGGTAGCTGTGGCCTTGGTTACCAGGGAGGACTGGTCCCCCCTCTTGTCTCCTGCCTCCTGCTTCCCCTCCTCCATATCCACCCTTAGCCTCAGGCTCACTCCTCAAGGTTAATTTCCCTGACAGCAGCTGTGACTCCATCCTCCTCCTCCTCCTCCCTCCTCCATCTTCCACACACACGGGCTTTTGAGTTATGTGCCTCCTGTTCTAATGAGATAAACAACATAAGTCTCATGAGGCTCTGCTCTTCCCTCCATACGTGGAGCTCCAGAGCTGAATGTGTTGGCCCTAGAACGGGACCCTGGTGCCTGTCAGCGTAGTCAGGAGGGCAAGGAAGTGGGGGAGGAGCCCCGAGGGAGCTCCTTCGGCCATTTGCTTGTGGAGACAAGGTGGATTCCAAACGGACATCAAAGAGAAGCCTATTTCCACCCTCATGGCTGGAGGGACAAAGAGGGACCTGGACTGGTAAGGTGGGTGCCTTGTCATACCTTTGGCCTCGGGTCCAGGACTCATCTGAGTCAGCTAATTTATAATAACCAACAGCTGACATTTGCCAAGTTGACTTGGGTGCAGAGAGCTTCCTCTTGAGTACCTGTGACTCCCCATGACAGTCCCCTAAGGTAGGTGTTATCGATGCTTTTATCTTTCGGTGAGGAGCAGGCTCAGACAGGTGTTGGGACATCTTCCGGAAGGCATGGGCCCTTCCTCTGCATCATGGGGCTTCTCCAATCTACCAGAGAAAGAATGAAGCAAAACCAGTCCCTCTTGTTGGCATTCAAACTCCTTACTAAAATTGGCTGTCCAGGAGAGGGGGCCTACGGCTACAGGCAGAGTGGCCCTAGGCTGTCCCCGTGCTGTTGATCTACCAGTGCAGCGACTACAGTCTCAGAAAGGCTGTAGGCCCCGGACACGTGTTGGCATTTTTGAACTCTTGCCATTTTGACCTTGGGCAGACCTGGCCTGAACCCGTCTCTTCTTACTCACCTGCTTTTGGTCAGGGTGGAAATGGCAAGAAGGGTACCCGAGGCACAGAGACCACCATAGTGGGGTGGATATGGTGGGCTCTGGGTTGAGTTCCGAGTCCATCTTCTGGAGTGCCTTTTACATGGTTTATCTTGGTGAATGTGTCTCTGGAACCAGGAACAGCAGCAACAACGGTCATTCTCTTCTTGTATTTCTGGGTGTGGTTCAGTTCCAGTTGAATACACTTGGTAACTACTCCTGGATATACCTGCTAAGTACTGTGTGCTAAGGAGATACTAGAAATGGGTATGATTCCTGCCATCCTGGGTCTTATAAAGCCAGTAGGGGAGACTGTCAGGTAAGCTGGCAATTAATTAAATACCTGGGGGAAATATAAGAATCCTTGAGAGCCTACAGGAAAGGGATTAAACCAGTCTTGGCACAACAGAGAAAACATGCAGGCAGCTAACTAGATAGATATTGCCTAGACATCCAGAGGTTCTGTCAGACATCGGAGCAGTCTAAAAAGTTCTTTAAAAAATCATTTCCTAATTTCCTTGCCTACCTACATTCCGATTAGATAGGTCTGACTTGAATTTGGGGCATTAGCATTTTGAGAGGTTCTCCAGATGAGTTTGGTTTCAACCTGGGTTATGAATCACTAATCTGAAATGAAAGGGGAATTGGTATGACCAATTCTGGGATGTGGAACAGTCAGTACTTGGTCTTCCTGGAGATCCTGTGGGTCACCACCTTAGTGATGGCCTGAACATCTGGAAGGGACCCAGAATCAATGCATCCATTCAGGCCTGATAGGATCAGAAGTGACATGGTCCTCAGGTGAGTCAGGAAACATTGAGCTATTTCTCAGTGTTCGATCATGCTTTGCCTCAAAGAGAGGTCACAGTGGGACGCCCCCAATGGTAGGGAGAGCTTTCTTACTTTGATCTGTTTCGTTTTCTGTACAATTGACTTGCGTCTGGTGCTCATGAGTTTGTGTTCAGGGAGCTCCGAGCTGCAGGATCCTTCCTCTGTGGAGAGGCCCCTGAAACAGGAGCCCCCCTTCAGAGAATCAAATGGGGAGGGATCAAAACCTCCAACTGGCTCACAGTCTTGCCACCTGTGGGAACTACTGTGTAATTAAAATGATCCTTTGCACATAAAGGCGTGGAGCATTTTGGTTCCTTTAATACTGAGGTAGTTGCCTCTGCTTTGGACCCAATCTAATGAGTGGGTAAAGATGACTGGTCAAAATGAAGAAAAGAATGGATGGATATTTGGCAATGCAACTTTCATAGATTTTTCTCTTTGAAGGCAAAAAATGAAGGCAGTTCCCCCTCTTAACTTTCAAGGGCCCTAAAATGAAGATGGCAGATGGGAATGGGGTCCCGATGTTTTCTGAGCCCTGTGGTCCTCATGGTAGGCAGAGACAGTCTCCTGTGGGGTTGCCTGCTGCCATTGCCACATTTATCTCTAGAAGACAGAGTTGTGACTTCAGGGTGAAGCTGGAACATGTTCATTCATTCATTCAATAAATACTTAACTTGGATTTTTTTCTGTGTGTCAGGCACAGTTTGGTTGTCTGGCGATTCTAACAAGAGCAAGTCAGAGAAGTCCTGTCCTTACTGGGATTTTTGTGGGAGTAGGCAGCCTGGCTTGCTGGTTTGTTTGGAGGACACCAGGTGATCTTTTTAGATTGCAAAAAGCAGTCTGAATCACCAGTCTTAAGCACCTTCCTCTTCTCGCCTCCCCCTCTCCCAACCCTTTCTCCAGGAATAGATTCCATTGGTCTAATACGGAACATTCGTGCCCCCTGAGTCTTCTGGTTGCCACATTTTGCGCCCAGGAGCCACAGGAGTGTTATCTGACAAGAGGAAGGCTCCTGATAGGGTGCTCGGCATGACGATGATTCTGGGGGGTGTCAGGGATCAATATAAATGGAGACTTCCACTGGGAGACAGTATGGTACATGAGTCCACCCCATGGACTCCTGCCTGTTTCTTTCTTTAGGTCCAGGCAGGTGGGCAGGGGTGTCTAGGAATGCTGGTTGTGCAGGCCATGGAGCCTGGTCTCCAGAGCAGGGTATATTCCTGTGGAGGTTGCCCAGGGCTCCCTTGGCTTCTGTGAGCTTCCATTACCTTACAGTGGGTAGGAGAAGCCAGTAAGTAGCTCTGGATCTTTTGATCCTGTTTCTTTGAAATGCTCCTCAATCCAGGCTGTTCCCAAGGGAGGCCCACTGACTCTTGCCGCTCCACTTGCTTCATGGGGACCTGGACAGAGCTGCAGTTGCTGCAGAGCTATGGCCTTGTCAGCACTTGTTGAAACTGGCTCTGGAAAGGTTCCTCTGATGTTCTCCTTGGGTCAGCAAGCAGAACTGGTTTTGGTAGAGGTGATAGCTCTTTCTGGCCTAGGCTTCCTGAACAGCATGGTGGAGCCGATGGAGCAAAGGTCTGGGATCTCCTATGACCTTGATTCAGCCTTGGCTCTGGCTTCAACCTGCTGTGTGACCTTGACAAATCACTTCACCTTTCTGGGCTTGAATTTCCTCTCACTGTAAATGACAGGGTTAGTCAGGGTAATTTCCAAGCCCCCCCCTGACAGCCTGAAGCCTTTAATCTTGACATCGTCTCTGTCCACAGGCCTTGCTCCAGGCCAGCTGTACACATACCCTGCCCGCTGCTGGCGCAAAAAGAGACGATTGCACCCGCCTGAGGACCCGAAGCTGCGGCTGCTGGAAATAAAACCTGGTGAGTGCCCTCTGGAGCTCAGGTGGGCCCATCTGGGAAGAGGGGATGGTGGAGGGGATCTGGGCTGGGCCCCAGGCAAGGCTGGTTGGCTCCTTGGTCCACAGAGCTGTTTCCTGGGAGAGCAAAGGTGCCCATGTGGTGCTCAGAGCTGTCTCTGTGCCCGCTCTGGGTCTAAACAGGTCAGTGTCCTCCTGAGCTTCTGGGGCCTTGTGCCCTCTTCTTTGTCTTCCTCTTGCTGAATGAAGGAATAAAGCAAATGGACACAGGGGTCCCATCCAGGGTGACCATCCTTGTGGCCTCAAGTAGAGACACCTCATTTCAGTTGCTTGTTTCTGAGATGCCCCGTGGATCCTGTCCCCTCATACCCACGCAACATCCTGGGCGTCTTACTTGGAAGGGGACAGGTCATTAAAAATAGAACATGCATCAACACTATGGGAGATTGCTTTGGGCCTGCAGGAGGACTCAGTTGGGAATATCTTGATGCACCTCCTGTGACGCTGCAGACCGTCTGCCATCCCCAGAGCCATGTCTGTCTGGGTCATGCAGCAAGGGCAAGTGATTGCCGGGGATGTGACTCAGGGTGGTGGGAACAGCACTGTTCAGTGGTACAGAGTTGACAAGATGGCTTCTGCTGTCACCAAATCATTGCCAGCCACCTGGCAGCTACCACACTCTTTCCTTTCCACACTGACCCCTTACACTGCATTTGTACTGTAAGGTCCCCGCCTATTTTTTTTTTTTGGTGTGTGTGTGTTTCCACTCCTGGTTCTGTGGGTAAGGCAGCTGTGATTCTTTGCTTTAACCCTGATTTCACTTGTGGAGCAGGTTTATTTGTGAGGGGTGGGTGGTTGAGATTCATTGTGCTCTGTCCAAATCGAATCTTCCTGACACCATTTCCAGACATTTGAAAATACGACAGGGTGATGGCGGAAGCTGTCCCAGGTGTCTCCCTCCCTTGATGCAGGGTAGGAGACTCAAGTTTCCTAGAGAGATAACCCCACAGAGATATAATGTTGTCATTTTGCTTTTTCTAGTAGCCACATGAAGAAAAAGGAAAAAGAAACAGGGGAAATGGATTTCAATAATATATAACATTTAACCCAACATGTCAAAAAAATTTGATAATTTCACCATGTCATCAATGTAAAGATGATGAATGAGATCTTTTACATCCTTTTTTTAAAAATATTTTTTAGTTTATTTATTTCATTCCATTTATTTATTTATTTATTTATTTTTATGTGGTGCTAAGGATCGAACCCAGTGCTTTACACATGCAAGGCAAGCGCTCAACCACTGAGCTACAAACCCAGTCCCTTTTACATTCTTTTTGGATACTGTGTTTGAATTCTAGTGTGCATTTGCCACTTCTCCACATCTCATTTTGAACTAGCCACACTTTAAGTGCTCAGTGGCGCATGGGCTAGGGTGCCATATTGGTCAGCATGGTTCTACGGTCAATGTGTGGTCCTGATCATCATCATCAGTAGCAGCAGCAGTAGCAACAGCAACCTGGGAGCTTGTCACAGATACAGAATCTTGGGCCTCTCAGATCTACGGAGCAGAATTTGCATCTCCTGAATGGACGCCGATGTCTGAGAAACTGTGTCAAAGACTTATAGGTAGATGGACCATAAGCCAGTGCTGTATGAGTCCATGTTGCTTTACTAGGCATAAATAATTGTTGATATAAACAGTTCCTTTTGGAGGCAAGGGCTCACTTTTTCCTTGCCATAGCTCCACTGGTCCTGATCTTGTGCAGTGTCATGGAAGAATGGTAAAGAAACCCCTGGTTTAATCCTTACCTGGACCAATTTAATTCTACCCCTTTCATAGATGGTTTGGCTGAGACAACTATGAAGTATTATTTAGGTATCTGCCCCTCGTTGGATGTGTCTCTTTGTTTGAGTGAGTAAACCTTCTGGTATATTTCTCTATCTGTGGAACAGGCCCAGCAGGACCTGGTTTTCCTAGGTAGTCTTTCAGGCTCACCATGGGTCAAACAAGTCATATGCAATTCTCTTCAATTAGAAATTTTTTGTTTGATTTTGAGTGGGTAATACAGTCACATGTTTTGACATTCAAAAGGTAAAAGGAGGCCAGGCTTGGTGGCACACGCCTGTAATCCCAGTGGCTGGGGAGACTGAGATAGGAGGATCATAAGTTCAAATCCAGCCTCAGCAACTTAGCAAGGCCCTAAGCAACTAAGTGAGACCTGTCTCTAAATAAAATATAAAAAAGGGCTGGGGATGTGTTTCAATGGTTAAGCGCCCCTAGGTTCAATCCCTAGTACCACCAAAGGAAAAAAAAAAAAAGATAAAAGGGTATGTTATATGGTGGAAATCAAGAGCAAGTCTCTCCAGAGACAATCAGTGGCACCAGAATTTCCTTGAAGAGAGGGTCTATCTATGCCCAGGAACTGCATTGATGTGACTTTCTCTTCCTTTTACAGAGCATAACCACCTTGGATTTTGCCATTTCCACTTAAATAAGTGCTTGATATATCCCAACGTACAAAAAAGTTTCATTTTTTAATGATTACATAATATTCTATTGATGAATATACCACAATTTATTTAAACAGGCTATTCCCAATTGTGTTTCTAACTTTACCAATTTAACGATTCAATGAATGTTTTGAATGTATATGAAAATACCTCTGTAATTTGCTAATTTAAATAATTTTATTAAAAATACATGATAATAATTTTAACTAATTTAAAGTTATTAGTCTTGATTCTCAATATTTACACTTTATCTTTCTATCAGATAAATTGGGTCTTCTTTCATACAATCAAAGAATTTAACACTGTGGTGTACCTTAGATACTATTAACTCCAAGTTCTTATTTTATTGAGGTCCAGATAGATTAAGAAACTTGTTCAAAGTCATGCAAAGTCCTGTGGATCCAGCAGAGAATCCAGGTTGTTTGAAGTTCTCTGTAAATGGTTTTCTGCTTCTTCATGCTGCTGATAGGGATACTAACTTAAAAAAAATAATTAAAAAAAAACTTTAACAAGGACTTTTCCCTTAATAACTGTTTTAGGATTATAAAATTAACATATTAATTAATTATTAAAATGCAGCAAGAGATCGTTGGAATTCCTTCAGTTATAAATGCTGGAAGCTCAACTCCAACTAAGCCTAAGCAAAAGAAGGTCCAGTAACAGTCAACCCCAGGGTTCAGCTGGCTTCAGGCCCTGTCCTCCTCCTGGGGCAGGAAAAGAGGCCACTAGCAGCCTCAGACTCAACTCGACCGTACTCAACAGAAAGGTGGTCCCTTTCCACAGCTTTGTGTCTGTCCCCTTCCGTGGGTTTATGTCTGCCCCACCAATCCCCATTCCTCAGGGGATAGGACACTGAATAAATCATCCTCGTCCTCAGAAGCAGTCTCTCAACAGCACACCAGTTTACAAAGCCCTTATAAAGCCTTTCCATCCATATCATTTAGTTGACTCTACTATGGCTATGGGGACCAAAGAGGACAGGAAGGGATACAGTGTTATAAACCCATTTGATAGGTGAGAGAAATCGGGCTGTGGACAGAGCCAGGGAGAGTTTACCATGTGGCTCATGCATCTGACAATGAGCACTCCACTGCTTGGGAGGCAAGAAGCTATTTTCTGAGCATTTGGTCCTTCCGTCCACAGAGGTTTACTTAAGGCATCTTGCCTCCCAGGGTTTGCACCTTGCCTGTGGCTGAACCGAGAGCAGCTGCCTTCAGAGTCGGCTGTGGACTTGCCCCAATCTTGGGCCTGCCGTGACATGCAAGGGCAGAGAAAAGCGGGAAGCCCAGGGCTGGTGGTTTTCTACCGCCAGGTCCCCTCCAGCACACAGTGGCTGTATCTGTGATCATTTGAAATGCTCGCTTGGCCTGTGCCCCCCAGGCTCACTCAGCTGACTGTCTCAGGTTGCAGGTGGCTCTGCCCCAAAAGAGACAAGCACCAGTCCCTGAAGATGGACCCTTGGCCATATTCCCAGATGGGAAGAGCTGAGCCCCCAGGCTGGCTTATCCTCCTCACCAACACCCAGGTACACAATACACAGTACACCAATAGCCCACGGCTAGGATAAGTAACTTTTCATATGACGGGGCCCCTTCTCAGAAGAACTTCTCTTTGGGTAATCAGGCTGACCACTAAGCCTACTAAAAACAAAACCCAACAGCAGAATGCCTGTCATTTCTCCATCCTGTTCTGAATCTGCACCTCTGGGTCCGGGCCTAGCACTCAGCATGGAACCCCCACACCATCCTGCAATGGTGGGTGAACAAAGATGCCCTGGGCCCTGTGACAAGGAGGCACGGCACAGTACTTAGAAGCAGCCAGGGCCCATCTAGGGAATGTGAAACAGCGTGACCAGAGAAGCATACCATTCCCTTCCCAGAGGCGACAGGTTTGCTTTAGGATTCTTCACACTAGCCAAAGTTTCAGGAAAACAACTTCGTCCATAGCCCCAGCTTGTCCATATGGCAGCTTTGTGCAAATCAGAAGGTGGCGCCCCCTCTGGGTAGACACTTGTCAGTGAGGCCCTTCTGCTGAGTTGTGGAGCACGCAGGCTGGTGCTGGGCCCCTCTGCTGTGTCCTTGGCAGTGGCCCCCTGCGGGTGGGTGCCACCTGCACATTTTTCAGCAGTTCTGCCTTTGTTATCCCTAAAATGCAGCTTCCACCTGAGGGAACCTCCTCCCTTTTTGGGGTTATGTCCTTCCTAAGCACGGGGCTGACTTGGATGGTATTTTTAAATCACTGTCTCTTATTTTTATTCCATTTGATTTGGACTTAAGGAAGGCTCAGTTTTTTTGTTTCTTTTTTTTTTTTTGGGTTGATACTGTTGAGTGTGACTCAGGGTAGAGTCACTGCACAGTCCCTGGAGAAATTGCTGCGAGTTTCTACTAGGTGGGGGCAGTCAGTCAGGAGGCTGAGGCGGAACTTCCTCATGGGGATAGAGGGACACAGGGAAGGAAAGCGTCGGGGTGTGTTCCCTTTTACCATGGCAAT